TCTTCTGTAATGCCGGATTTGTGTGTAGGTATTGTTGAAATTTGATTTTGTCATTGAATATCTTGTTTTCTCCGTCTATGAGGACTGAGAGTTTTGCAGGGTATAGTAGCCTGGGTTGACATCTGTGTTCTCTTAGGGTCTGCATGATATCTGTCCAGGCCCTTCTGGCTTTCATAGTTTCTGTTGAAAAGTCAGGTGTGATTCTAATGGGTTTGCCGTTATATGTTACTTGGCCTTTTTCCCTTGCAGCTTTTAGTATTTTTTCTTTGTTCTGTATACTTACTGTTTTGATTATTATGTGGTGGGAGGATTTTCTTTTCTGGTCAAATTTGTTGGGTGTTCTGTAGGCCTCATGTATCCTTATTGGCTTCTCCTTTAACTTGGGGAAATTTTCTTCAATGATTTTGTTGAAAATATTTTCTGGGCCTTGGAGAAGGGAGTCTTCTTTTTCCTCTATACCTATTATTCTTAGATTTTGTCTTTTCATATTGTCTTGGATTTCTTGGACAGTCTGTGTCAGGAATTTTTTGGATTTAACATTTTCTTTGACAGATACGTCGATTTCTTCCATTGTATCTTCTACACCTGAGATTCTTTCTTCCATTTCTTGTATTCTGTTGGTTATGCTTACCTCTGTAGTTCCTGTTTTCTTCCCTAAATTCTTCCTCTCCATTATTTCCTCCATTTGTGTTTTCTTTAATTTTTCTAGTTCTATCTTCAGGTCTTGAGTTGTTTTGTTTACTTCCTTCACCTATCTGCTTGTATTTTCCTCTTTTTCTTTTAGTTCCTTCAACTCTGTCTCTTTTATTTCTTTCAGTGATTTAATTATTTCTTCTCTGAAGGCCACAAGCTGTTTGGCTGCATCTTCCCGTATTTCTTCACGGATGGCCCTAATCTGCTTGTCTTTATCTTCCTCCATTTCTTTACGGATAGCCATGATCTGTTTGGTTTTATCTTCCTCTAATTCTTTACGTATTTTATTTGTCTCCTCTATTATCCTCTTCATCAACATAGATGTAAGGTCATCTTCTTGATTTTCTATTATGCTGCATTGTTCAGGGCTGTTTGCCTCTGGATGGCTGGGTTCTGGAGATGCCATATTGCTCTGTCTTTTGTTGGTTGAGCCTTTACGCTGACCTCTACCCATTGGGCTGATTTAGGTGTTGGCTGTTAGTTTCTGTGCTTCCTGGAGTCCTGAGGTAGGGAGTATCCCCTTGGCCAGAAGATGATTTTTCCTGAAGGAGTCCTTCTCTGCTTTTTGGTTATGGTCACTGTATGGCCCGTGTTTCTCAGGAGTTGCCACTGCTCACCTCAGGTTTATAGCCCTGAGTAGTAGCTGTGGTCTATGTTAGGCAGGGGGGGATCTCCTCTTACCCATAGAATTTCTCAAGACAGCTGCCCCACTGCTGGGTTTCTTGTTATAAATTTAGTGTGCTGCTGCTCACTAAATTTCCATGTACAGTCCTCTTGAAGAAACTGCTGATTCCCTAGCTGTGGGGTTTTCTCCCATAAGGGAACCTCAGTCTGTTATCCTGGGGTGCACAGTTCTGTCCGGGAAAGTGGGAGATGCACTCAGCAAGTCTCTGGGCCAGAGGCTGATTGCTCTGCTCTGGACCTGGAGAATGTGCACCTAGGTTGAGTTGTCGCCTGGGGGCACTGTTCTGGTCTGGAGGCTGGGTGCCTTACTCTGGACCAGAAGCTGTGTGTCTCTGTCTGGGATAGCAGCTGTAGGCACTGCTCTGGTCCAGACGCTGTGGGTGCAGCCCTCTTGAAGGACCAGGGATTCCCACAGTTTTGACAGTCTAGCTAGGAATAACTGGTTGATCCTTGGCACAGTATCTGAGGGCTGCTGTAATGGCTCTCTGGCTTTTGTAGGTCTGAGGATGCAGCTGTGTGTCCCAGTGCCCTAGGGGAACTCAATAATGGCAGCAGAGCACAGCGCTCCTGCCTGCACTAGAGTCTGCGTGAGTCCAGAAAGTGTTTTGGTGCTGGGTGTCCTAAGCGTTAGAGCTGCTGACCCCCTCCGCTGGGGGTTTCCTCCTGCCAGAGACACGCAGTCTGGTGCCCTGGTGCTCTGGTGCCCACAGTTCTATCTGAGGCGGCGAATCAGGCGCGCAGGCAGGGCTCCGTGCAGGAGCCTGTGTCCCGGCTCTGGGTCCGGACTGGCTCTTGGGGCACCCGTGGAACCTGAGTCTTTTCCAGGGGATGTCTGGGTAACCTGGGGTCGGTCCCAATTGTTTCCTGCTCCGTGGGGTTATCTCTCGACTGGGAAATCCAGCCTATGGTGTTGTGGACCCACAGTTCAGTCTGGGACCGTGACCAGATTGTGCTGGCGGGTAGCTCTGGGCTGGCGACCAAGCACCTGGCGGAACCGGGATCTCTTCCGAGGTTTAGCCGGGTGAGTTAAAGCTGATCGAATCCCCCACCATGGGGTATCCTCTCACCTGTGAAACACAACCACTTGTGTTTTATGGCCGCGAGTTCTGATTGCTGGTCACTGTGCCAATCCTGCTGTGTTGCTCCTCAAAATGAGAGTCCTCCCAGCGCCGCCATCTTGCCCCGCCGTTTTTTTTTTTTTTTTTAATTAGGGTTTGGATAGCAACTATCCAAGGAAAGATAATGTGTTTCAATACTGGTTTCTAGCATATGGCCCTGTTTTGCGAAGTTTTAAAAACTATGGAAAATATAGCCTAGCAGAAAGTTGTTGGTCACTGGGGGTATAGAGTACTAACAGGGTGTAACCATCTTCCTCAGGTCTCTACTGCCCCACTGACCAGCCTTCCATCTTGAGGACAGAAAGTGAAGAAAACTGGGGGTCTGTGCCCAGCCATCATAGGTCCATTGAAGCTCTGACCTCACAAGGAACTACCGTGAGGACCTGCCCTTTTACAGCAGTGGCTGAGGCTCTCTCTTATCCTTACAGGGTAGAAGCTGTTGGGTGGTTGGAGAACATTTTGATATCCATGTTAGAGAGCCACTACACTTGGATCTTTGTGAATTATTAAATGAAAACATAGTGAGTTTTCTTCTATATTCATAGGTTTTGGTTTCAACATTTCATTTTCTGGATTTAAATAACTCTTCCTGTTCTTTCTTGCTGTGAAGTATGATTGAAGGAATTGTTATTTTCTATATTAATTAGATTTCTACTCTTTTAAAATGTCATATTTTACATGGATTTATTTGGTTCATATTTGGAACATTACTTTATATTAACTACACAGTATGAGTGATCTCTACAGTGACATTTCCATACATGTACATGAAGAACTTTGAATGCATTCCCCTGATGACACTGCCTACTGCCCACCCCTTCCAAGCCTCTCACTGTTTCCCTTTTCTGTTCAGCACCTTACTTCCCAAGTACAAGTACGGGCCAAGTGCCGTGGACTCCTGTCCAGGGGACTGATGGACACAAGGGATGGTCTCTTAAGGAAGAACACCAATGTGTCTCTGGGCTCTAGCACAAAGGCTCCTCCTAGCTGGTTATCTCAGGATCTTCCTGGCAGGTCAAGCGGCATGAGTCCAACAAAGGGGCTAGAGACAAGAGTCACATCGGATCTTGTGATGGTAACTGTGGAACAGGGCAGCTGAAAAGAAATTTAAGGATAGAATAAGTGTAAGTCTAAAAGGAGCTTGTTCTTTGAGGAAGGACGGGACTTTCTTTGGTGAGACTTGCCATGCCCTGTCCCTCCAGCCTCCTCCTGTCCTTCTCGCTGCCTGCAGCTGTACGTTCATGGGTTATCTTCTGTCTTAGGAGGGCGATTATGGCAGCAAGCTAGGGTGTTATCAGGCACCGGAGGGGAGGGCAATAATGATTTTGAAGCATAGGGTCGAGCCTGTGCTCTTGAGTTCTGCTGGTCCTACAGCTCAAAGAACATATTCAGGAACAAAAACTGCCTAGTGCTGGAATTATTTTCCCAAAACACCACAGACCCCAAACCCCAAAATAAACAGAGGGGACCTTTTATTGACAAGGGAAGTCTACCCTAATTTCCAAGTCTAGGCTTGGATAAAACTCCTTCCTCCAACTTTAATCTTTTCATGTTTGGGGAAAGGCAGTGGGTAACAGAACCTTCAGCAACAAAACCCTTATGGTTCCTTCCTGCTTTTCCAAGTTGTTGATGATGATGAGGGTCTATCCTCTGTGACTTTCAAAAATCAAATATCTGATTACAGAACTGGCCAGTTACGCTTTGGTGCCCATTGCTGGACAGTACCTGTGTCTCCCTTTCATTGTGTGATGGTTTAGTTAACTAGACTTGCTATCCCGTGCTCAAGTGAATGGTGTGTAGACATGTGTTGCCTTCAGTTGGCATGCATGTTCTCTGAAGAGTGAACATCCTTGTTGACCTCCTGTATACTTCCACCCAGTTTCTCTGGTGTATGTGCTGTAGCTTGGGCGGGTCCTGTGAGGTCCACTTAATGTGTAAAGGTGCTGACTTTTGGTGGGAGGTGACAGCAGCTTAGCTTCAGGAGCATGGAAATGGCTGATCAGCCCTCCACCCTCAAGCGTTGTTGTCACACGCACTTGTGGCTAGGCCCCGTGTCTAACAGCAACCTTGAACTTTTGAAGCATTGGGAACTCAGGTCATGCAGAAAACAAAAGCAGTCCTTCCTCATCTTCTCTTTGCTGTTGCTTTCGTATTGGTGAGGCAGGGTCTCCTGTAGCACAGGCTGGCCTCAGCATCCCTGTGTGGCCAAAGAGGACTTGAACTGATCCCCCTGCCTCCACTTTTCTAGCTTTTCCAACTGCTACTCTTGACCTTTATGAGACTTTTCCTGACTTTCACTGTGACCTTCTGTCTAAGGCCCATCAGCTGGCCCTGAAGGACTCTCAGTCAGGGCACAGATAGTTGTATCATGTTTAGATTTAGTGTATGTGTGTGGTGTATGTAAGTGTAGATCTTTTGGATATAGGAATTCATAGCTATAAACACTTTCCTTGGGCCTGATTTTAACTCTGTCAACTTTCTCATTGAAAGTTTGGTTCTGGCCATATGAAGGAGGGCCTGACTCTGAAGCAGGACATGGAGGCCTGCTCCTCTGTGGAGGACCCCTTCACCACCCACTACAAAATGATGAGGGCTTTGGGCCACGGACACTTTCCAGAGGTCAACCTGGCCTTCTGTGTGCCCACAGTGACCCGTGTGGCTGTAAAAACTCTTAGAGATAAGTACACCTCCATTATTGTCAGTGAAATCAGCGTCATGAAATCTCTTAACCGTCCTAACATAATCAAGCTGTTTCACATGGTTAAGAGGGAAGAGATCACCTACCTGGTGATGGGGCATGCCTCAGAGGGAGAGCTGCTGTGGCGCATCCTAGAACTGGGGTTTTTACAGGAGAGCGAGGCTCAAAGGATATTTACCCAGATTGTACATGCAGTGAGTTATTGCCGTGACAATCATGTTGTCCACAGAGACATCAACGCCACGAATATCCTCATGGACTGCAGGGGGAACGCCAAGCTGATCCATTTTAGCTTCACTGTCAAAGTCACTCCTGGGCAGAAACTGCGGGGTTTCTGCGGCACTCTATCCTATTGTGCCCCAGAACTCTTTGCAGGGGACGCTTACCCCATGTGGTGTTTAGGTGTGTTCCTCTTCCTCATGTGGCCGGGCACTTCCCTTTCTGAGCTTACTCTTTTGTGGACTTGAAGAAGGAGATCACCTCAGGCAACTTTAGAATTCCTCACCATGTTTCCATCAATATTTTCAATGTCTCGATCTATAACTCAGGCTGGAATGAAAGTCAGTGTTGCCCAGCTGACTTTTACTTGCTGTGGATTCTGCTGGCTGAGTTCCTCCTTAGGTGCACTATAACATTGAGCATTTGTGTTTTAGTCGGGGTCTCTTCTATCCCAGGCAGGCCACTTTGTAGCCAAAGATGACCTTGAGCAGGATCCTCACCCTCCTATCTCTAATTCCTCAATGTAGAAATTCTAGGCTTGAGTCACTCTGCCCTGTCAAGTATCAGAAGTTCAAGGTCAGTGTAGGCAAAAGTGAGTTCCTGGCTGAGTGGAATTCAGAAAAACCATATGCAAAACCTAAACATTTTGAACTATCTGATCTGAACACTGTGGATGGGGAGATGGGTGAATGGGTAAAGTGTCACAGTGCAAAGAAAGGACCTTCTGAAAACCAGACATGGCAGCACCGTGTTTCATCTTAGGTCTGCTGGTGAAGAGAGGCAGATGTGGGACCTTGCTAGCCTAAGATCAGTGAGATAACCTGTCTCAAAAATTATGGTGGGAAAGCACTATTCCTGGTCTATACATATGATTAATGTGTGAGGGCAGACAGACAGACAGGTGCATGTGCGCACACACACACACACACACACACACACACACACACACACCTACCTCTATGGTCTTGCATGTATCATGCACAAATACACACCTTATACCAGTATCTAGAGTTTTCCAACCTTTCCTTACTCTTTTTTCCTTACGACTGATTGTCTAAACTTTATACTCATGTCTTTTTGTTTTTCTTTTGCCAAAGCACATGACTTAATTGCCACAGTGAACTACCAGTTTCTTCTAGTGATGGATCCTTTCATTTTCTTCCCTCCTATTTTTTTGACTCAGCTTTCTGTATCAAGTCCAGGCTGCCAAGGACTGGTGATCCTCCTGCCCTTAGCCAATGGACTTTAGGTAGTATAACTGTGCACTAGATTCTGTGGGTTTTTAAAATCATCTATGTACCTGTGGATGACCTTCAACTTTCAATTCTGTTGTCTCTACCTACCAAATGTAGGGGTTACAGGATTTACTAACCACGCCTGATTTATTTGATCCTGGGGGACAAACCCAGTGCTTCCGGCATGCTGGGCAAGAGCTGTCCCAATGGAGTAGGTGCACCTGTAGGTCACCCTAGCCTGGGACTCTCCATGTAGCCGAAAGACCTTGAATTCTTGATCCTCCTGCTTCTGCATTCCTTCTCTGGAATTACAGATCTATACCACTGACCCTGTGTTTTCTTTCTTTCTCTCTTTTTTTTCTAGATTATCTGTGTTTTCTACTAAGAGTATTTACAAGTAATATAAACAAGCTCTAGCTGGACTTCTTCTGAAGCTGGTGAGCTGTGAGCTCCATGGGAGAGAGAGAAAGGATGCTGTCCCAATCCCATGCCATGTCAAGAAAACTCAGGTCAGTATGCCTCAGTTTTCAGGACTATCACCTGTGTAGCCAGGTGGCTCTGAAGGTGTGCTCTGAGTAGCATCCCTCAAGTTTACCTCATCTAACTCTTCTATGTAGCACCATGGGACAGAAAGGAAGACAGAAGCCATGTCCAGACATGCAGCTGACAAAACCAGGAAGATGAAGCCTCATCCCTACTGTTTAAAGATATTCTCTCCTCACCCCTTGGATGATCATGTCCCCCCTCACATTTAGCCAGTTCTAGGGAGTTTGTGGATTTTTGTTAAGACTAGATGTCAGAGCTAGGGTGCCTGTAATCCTTAGTTCAAGACCAGCCTGGCTTAGAGTGAGCAGTAGTGTAGCTTTGGAGCACTGTGAGACTCCATCTCTCAAACAAAAAGTAAATAACAGGACTAGTGCTGCAGCTCAGTGTGCCTAGCATGTAGGAAGCTCTGAGTTTTTGTCCAGCAAAAAATAAAATCAGGTGATGCATGCCCAGAATTCTAGGACTATAGGGTGGAGATAAGAGGATCAGGCAGTCAAGAACATCTTCCAAGACAGAGTTTGAGGTCAGTCTAGGATGCATGGCCACTCTATTGTAGAAACAAACATTATCACCACCCAAATCTTAATGTCCAAATCTTAGAAACAAGTGACAAGGTGGTTCATAGCAATGACATATTCTTCAAGAATCAAAGGAGAGAAGAAAGCTGGCCATCCAGATGTGCAGTAATTGTTTCTTGTGACTTATACCTGGAATTGACCTGAGCATTGATTTCCTACCCTGAGCTCAGCAGTGAGGAGCTGTTAAGTAAGTACTCCCTGCTGTCCCTGTGGGAGGCAGTGGGGAGGAAGGTTTGGAGAGCATGGAGTCCCCACCTGTGCCAATGAGGAGGGCAGGAAGGCTGCTTGGCTCTGCAATCAGTCTGAAACTCTGAGGTTATACTTCCCCCTTCTGGTGGTTCTATACCAGCAGTGTGTCAGTGCATCTGGTTTGTGGGGACCCCTGCTTCAATTCATGCCAAAAAGTTCCGTGAATCTAAAATTATTATTTTTTTGTTTTTTTGAGACAGGGTTTCTCTCTTTAGCCCTGAATATTCTAGAACTCACTCTGTACACCAGAACTCACCAAGATCCCATTCCTATGCTTCCTGATTAAAAGCATGTGCCATCACAGCCTAGCAAGAGGTGTATCTCAACCTCCATGGCCTTGAGAATTTCTGTGTCCGAAACTGTGACTATGAACTGTGCCTGTGAACTGACATTTGAGACTGAACATATGTTTGAGCATACAGGTGCATGTATACAAGGTCACACATGAAGTAGATATACTGATAAAGAAGCTTTAAGTCAGCCAAAGGCCCCAGGTAGCCCTTTGGAAGGCCTACCGAAGGCTGCTCTTCTAAGGATGCCGGGTGGTTGAAGTGAGCGGCAATGCCAAGCCTGGGTGAATCTTATTGCTGCTGAGTAGATTCCAACTGTGGGCTGACAAGCTGATCCCAGCTTTGTGGGTCACCTGGATATCTGACCTCTATGCAGCATGGGGCTAGGCATCTCTCAGAAACCAAGGCAGATGGCCCTGCACTAGGGAGAAAAGAAGGCCACCTGGATAGATTCCAGTAGCCTTCCCCACCCCTCAATCATTGTAATATGTCTTCTAGGATGGAAATTAAAACATTTATAAATTGGCTTACATTTTTGTTTTGAGACAGGGATTTTTATGCACATCTCTGTGTTGCCTGGGTGGCTAGGATTATAGGTGTGCTATTGTAGTGAGAATTTTTGTTTCTTAAAATACCCAGTTATGTTCTGTGAATATTTTTGTTTTAATCCAAGGTGTGGGATTTGGGGCTGACTCAGATTCCCCACAGCTGCTAGCTATGATTTGTCTCATACTCTAGGAGGGGCATGGTTCTGCCAGCTCTGTGTTGCCACACTTTTTATCTCCACTCCAATCTTTCCAATACCCCAACACCAGGTAGGAGAGGTTAGAGTCATTGGGTTCCTTGTGTAAGTCCAATTTTCGTTTTAGGCTATCTTCACGTTCTTTAGTTCTGCAGCCAGGAGCAGCAGGGGGAGCACCATAATTCTTCCTTGGAACTGCCCTTCTCTCTCTGGGCACTGGCATTTTTTTTCTCTAGAGTCTTCGGAAATTAAACTATCTGCAGCTGGCAAAGAGCCCGTCTCAGAGCACACATGAGGCAAACAGTGGACACTCTGAATAGGCTCCATACCCCACACCTGAGGTTTAAACAAAAACATAACATGACTGAACTACCCACTACGGCTGGAGACAGATTCCATCTGAAATTCTGGGGCCTCTTGAGAAGCGAATAAATGTGAGAGCCCCAGGACGGTCTGTGATGGCTGCTGCTCCTCCTATTGCTGCCCCTGCTCCTGCTGTGCCGGTCCCCCGCTGTGGCTGATTGATTGCTGGATTGGTAAATTCTTGGTTGCTGGTTGGAGATACTCTAATGATGATGATTGTAGTTGGCCCAAGAAACTCATTGTTGCTAATCAGTAGGAATAGTTTAAAGAGATCTATACCCCTCTTTCCTCTCTAGCCTTTCTTGCCTACCTAGTGTTGTGGGGGTTGGGAAGAACTATGCTGGAGAAAGGTAGTAGATGCAAGAATCCAGTAAAGTAGCCAAAAAGTCCCAGCTACAAAGTGTGGTGAGGCAAAATAGGAAACTTGGTGGAAATGATGACAAGGGAAGAAGTGATGACTATGATTTCAAGATGGCATCAAAAAAGTTTATGGTGGCTGCTGCTGCTGGGTTCTCTCCTGATTTGGTCCCAGAGGGGATTTTTAAAATTTTTTTCTTATTTTTTAAAAGGACTGTGGGAGAATGGAGAATGGTTGAGCAGTTTGAAAAAAACTGCAAGTGGGAATGAAGGGGTCTGAGAAACAAACAAACAAACAAACAAACAAACAAACAAACAAAAATGTATGAAAGCCAGAAGGGTCACCCTATTCTGTCATTTCTGAAAGGGTTGCAGAATTGGCTATGAAACTGGAAAGGTTATGGGTAGAGGTGGAAATGCATGGAAAGCAAATAGTACCCAAAAAAGGGAGAAGGTGACTGAAAAAGAGCAGGAGCGTCCAGCAGAATGAAAGCGGGAGACAAGCCTGTGTAGATGGCAGATCTTAGTCCTGCCTAGTACCCCACACTTTCGGTTTCAAGTCCATGAAACTCCTAGGTGGGGTGGTGTTGGCTTTGATTTTAAAAGCCTTCTTTATTTTTAGATTCCTTATATCTCTTTCTTCCTTCTACACCCAATTTCTTCCAACACCCCAACACAAGGTAGGAGAAAAAGAAGCTTAATGGAGAGAGAGACTTAGTTCTCTTAAGCTACTTCCTGCTGGTTAGGGTCATGGGGTTCCTAAACACCTTTACCTCTTTGCCAACCCACCCAGCTTAGGAAGGAGAGAAAGAAGGTTAATAGGGATGGGGGATGTGGACCTCTTTAGTTGTAGTTTCTTCAAGGTGATTCTACTCTTTGTTGTCAGCAGTTCAGTCAAACAGCAAACAGCAACAACAAACAAGAACCAACAGCAAACAGCAAAAAGCAGCAACAGCCCTCAGCCCTCAGCCCTCAGCGGTG